AATCACATGTTTCACAACATAAAAAAGATCAACAATCGATTTTGTCACAAAGTGATAAAACGAGTGTCCATTATGCTTATGAACGCGAACCATTTTCCCAATACTAATTTTTTATGAATTGGAGGGACTAAAACTTTTTTCCTCTTTCCAATGCATATATCCATTACATATCAATTGATTATATGCTGGTCCATCAATTGCAATCATATGATTCGTTTTGGGGTTATAGATTTTTGACGTTTTCGATCGCCTAGCTAATTTGAATAACCCATCTGAGGTAATCGTTTCTTTGTTATATTCTGGCTCTTGGGTATACATGTTAGCTGTAGTATATATTGTGGTATAAAAGTTATTAAGTGATAATAAGGATATGTTTCTACTAAAAATGTTTGAAATGTTCAATTACGTTTTTCACATGATATCAATAGCATTTTTATATTAAAACTATATAAATTAAAAGTGAAAGACATTTATACTGTCCTTATACCAAAATTGTTATGAATTGCGTAACTTGCCAATATATCAAGAGGGATGGATCAGTTTGTGGAAAAGTCTGTACACAAACCACGGGCTGTGCTAAACACTGGAGTTTATATGAAAAGAATATGAAAAAAACTCCATGTAGAATATGTAGCAAACTTACATTATCTTATACAGGTTACTGCGCAAGTCATGCTAAGAGAGTTTATTTTAATAACTGGTACAAAAAACAAAAAGCATGTATATAGAAAATGTTGAGAAGCCCAAATTGCCCAAACTAGTTTGGGCTTTGAGAAAACAGTTTGGACCAGAAACCTTAGTCGAGAAGGTGGTGCTTCTGATTCTGCTGATGCATGATTGACGTTTTCTTGGAAATTTTGGGTATCCATGGTAGGTGCAATAATATTGGACATCTTTTTGTAAATTTATATTATCTGTACAAAAAAAATTCAAAATGAAAATTAATTCCCTAAATAATTAGTGTGAAATATCATTTATAGTATAAGACAAAAAAATCATACCAAAGATATAACACTTGGAATACATGGCATTTTATCATTGTGAATATATTCTCAGAACTGGAGAAGTTTGTGGGTGAGGTTGTTATAGGCCCGAAGGCTGTGGTTACCATTGGAAGTCCCCCCAACATATACCTTGTAAAGAGTGTGGTAAAATTACTTCCTCTATCTATGGTATGTGTGAGAAACATGCAGGTAAACATTGAAATATGAAACATTATTACCGGAAGAAGCTGGAGAAGATGGCACAAGATGGGGAATTGGAGATTCGATGCTCTGCCTCATCTGAGGTAAAAGAAAATTAATATACATATGTGTGCTATGCAAGATACCTATATTTTTCGAAGTTCCAACTAAGATGAATTTTTTTCTGGACGTGAACTAGGACGGAAAAAAATATACCTGCCAGCAATTTCAAGCCGAACGAAAGAGTTTTAGACTAGCTGTCCAAGTTGACCAGGTTGTCTAGGAAATTTCTTGATCTTCTTACTTTTATATTTTTTATCTATGTGTATAGAACATATGCATAGATTATATATTTACTGTATATATAGCATATGTTGTATATGTATCAAAGATATGTATATAGTATATGTCGTATATGTATATAGTGTATACCATAGGAAAGAGTTTGATATTTTTCCTAGAATACTATTTTTTACCTAGTCAACTTAGACGAAAATAGAACAAGTATAGAAGAACAAGTTAAAACAAAAATAAACCTTTTTCTTCCATAACATTATCCATCCAAGTTAATATATTTTTACCTAGACGGGACTTGGATGATTTTTTTTTCATGGACGCAAGCAGATCCATTTTAAGTGCATTCTAGGGTAGTTAACATAAGTGATTACATTTTTGATAGCATAACCGGATAACATTTTTCAATAGTAATTATGTAACACACACGATAGCATAACCAGATAGCATGTATACAACATGTCCAAATAACATGTATATAACATACTCGATAGCATACACTCTGGCTATTTGCTCCACAAATGATATGCAAATCGCATTCAACCCATCAAACTCGTAATGAGGCCAACCCGGTTGCATAAGCTACCTCAGCTATTTTATTACAATGGAAATCGGTTACGATAACCAAACCAGTATACAAATAATGTTATCAAATTTGGGTTATAATAAAAAATGCAGAAGGGCACTGACGGTGATGTCACATTTCTGTTGTCACAACACATACCTGAGTGAGAATAACCTAGACTAAACTCTTCCCACACATAACCTACTTCGGATATTTATATTTATTGGAAATCGATCAGAAATACTAAGCTGATATATGAAAATCTATACAAGTGATTAAAACATTATTGATATCGAATTTGACTCTCTAAAGGGTATACAAGCCATTACCCATCAAAGCGACCAAGTGTGACAATGTGAACATAAAATTGACGTCATATTTTTTATAGATCGTGGGGGGTGTCCAAGTGTGACAACATGAACACAAATTCATCATCATATTTTTTTATAGGTCATGGGTACCTAAGTGTGATGACGAACTTGTAAACCAATCATCACTCAAGTGATGACACACATGTGATCTCATCATCACACCTGAGCAGAAATAACCTCGACTAAGTGGAAATAACATAGTTATGTTATTTCCACTAACCCTGGTATCTATACATTCAAGATTTTATGAGAACCATTGGTAAAGTTGATCACTCCAATAGGGGAAAAGATTATGCAATTTATTGTTGATTTTGCATAAAGAGAGGAGATGGAGGTATGATGGTTAATTTTACTTTGTAATCATTCTGATGATCTTATGGTAAACAAGCAATTAATTTTTAAAAAAAAAATTTTTATTAATAGGTCATTTGTGGAGACACCCACTCAATAATGATCAACACAAACACACATGACTTACAAAAGGTGTTAGAGATTGTGAAAATTTTGAAGAGAGAAGTTAATGAACAATATAAATTGCTTGAAGTGGATATTGAATATTTTAAGAGGCTTTTGTTATTAGATAAAAATAAATATGCAGCAAAAGAACAATCATGAATTTGTTTTCTATGATAAGTTTGAAGGGCTTTACTCCCAAGAAGTTCCTTATATAAAATTCATATCCAAGTCAATGAGAAGAGATTGGTGTCAATTGGCTAATGATGCATTAAAGTTAATATGATTTATAATATAAAATCGGTGTTTAATGTTGTCCAAAAAAAAAATTAAAAGGATATAATTCCAACAATATATAACAATACTCATAAAAAATAGCAACACAATTGATAATTGCAATCTGTAACCATATAAGTCAATATTATAATGGATGGGTGATTTGCAATGAACAAACTTGTAGATATCGAAAAAGAATGATTCAAGCAGATAAAAGTTGCATCAATAATGGGTGTCATGGAACAATGCAGGGTTGGCAAATTGACTGGTCCATTGAGAACAGATGGATTTTGGACTAGTCCATTGCCATTAATAAAATATTGAATATAGTTAAAGTGGACCCAATGGACCACCAATAGACCATCAATGGTCCACACATTTGCCAACCCTGGAACAATAACAGAGGAGGTATTAAGTCATACATATGCATGTGTATTAGTATGCTTCTGTTTTTTTTTGTTTTGTGAATAAAAAAATTTATTTTTTTTTTTATAATTAGTATAATAAAATGGACTTGTACAAACAATTGGTATTTTATTCACATTTGTTTGATTATGAAAAGTCAAAAAAATCAAATCCAACCTTAAACTTTGGTGATTGTAGAGATTTTCTGCTCCTATTGGTTATTTGATTTTAATTTTTACTAATTCATATAATTTTTTAATTATTAGATGAAACTAGCAAGAAAAAATTTGAAAAATTAAGAAATGTAGTTGATGGATATATAGATCTTAGGGGCTTATTTAGTAAAATCAAAAACAAAATTGATTAGTAAAGATGGATTCTTAATCTTTAATTATTTAATAAATTTGATTTTTAATTAAGATTTTATTTAATTCTTGTTTAATAAAATTTGTTAATACTGTTACCGGAATTAGATTCTGACGGGGATATTTTGGACGAATCTCGTAATTCTCGTAATTCCGGGTCAGTGTTGAAAATTCAATCGAGGTGTATCACGTTACACAGGCCGTGTGCACGTCTATTTTTTTATTATGAAGAATCATTTACAAAATAAAAAATTAAATAAATATTTTTCCTTGATTTTTACTTTCCCAATTTTCATATGCTTTTAAAAAATCGAAATGTTCAATTTCTGGATTATTTAATAAAACCATTAATGATCATCTAATGTATTTAGATGCATTTTATTTCTCAAATTGTTTTTAATTAATTTCATTTGAGAAAATATTCTTTCTACATGAGTATTAGAAAGAGGTATAAGAATTGCTCTTTGAAGAACTATTACTATAGTTAGATAATTAAAAGAAAAGTATCCATCAGTATCCAAAATATGTTGCCATAATTGAATGAATTCATTCTCTATTATTGTTTTTATAGTACTGAAATATTTTCGAGCACATGGAAATTTGGTGTAACGTGATACGCCTTGATTGAATTTTCAACACGGCCCTGATGCTTTTTTTTTCATAATTTTTGGGCAAATTTATAATAATTACGTCCAAAATTGATATTAAAATTGAATCTTCTTTTAAAGCTGTGTGTTTATCAGTTAATATACTTTTATAAATTGAAAAGATCTTTCAACATCAACACTGGACACAGGAAGTTTCATTAACAGTTATACTAATCATTTTATTTTTTATTAAATTTTTTAATTTCTGTACTTCAAATTCATAACTCATTGGCAAATATTTATCTCAAAGTTGATTTGAACCTAAAATATAATCTCCTAGGAAATAATAAAAATAAAAATAAAATGATAATTTACATTAAAACATTCAAATTAATTTATTTTAATTTTTTTTTGATATGAAAATTTTCTTACCATTCTTACAATATGAATTAAAAAAAGACTTTAATTTATCTATTTTGTCCAGATTTAGTAAATGCTTCAATAATTGCAATATTAATTTTGTCACGATCATTATTAGTGAAAGAAAGCAAAGAGCTTTGTAAAGGTTGTGGATTATTTTTATGTTTTAATATATATAATCATCATCGATCACTTACATAAAAGTAAATTATACACGTAGATTATGTGATTATGCCAAAAATGAGTATTAGAAAGAGGTATAAGAAGTGCTCTTTGAAGAACTATTACTATAGTTGGATAATTAAAAGAAAAGTAACCATCAGTATCCAAAATATGTTGCCATAATTGAATAAATTCATTCTCTGTTATTGTTTTTATAGTACTGAAATATTTTCGAGCACATGTAAATTTGGTGTAACGTGATAC